TACTGAATGTAACATCAAACTCCATGTAACCCTCCCACCACCCTCCCTTCCACCATAGCTCATCAGCAAGAGAAGAAGGTAAGAGCTACACAAACACAGGCCGCTAATAGAAGAGATTTAAAAGAGGGAGCCAGAAATATGGATGCACCTAGACAAGGTGGGGCATCACTGCTCAATGTGATACAAGAAATCCTGCCAGGTTGAAGTGAATGTTTCAGGAACATCTCTCTTATACAGAGATCTAACATATTACTGACATGGTCATTCACAGAAGGAGGAATACGAGATTTATAGTGCTGCAAAATAATTTGCATTGCAACCAGTGCTGCATTTGAATCCATAAAACTTGATATTCAGTTTCAAGTTCCACTGGGAACACAAGGAATCTAGATTGAGTTTCGTTTGGCTTCTTTAATGAAAGTACAGAACCAGGTGGGTAGCCATGTTGGTCTGAAGCAGCAGAGCAAACTTTGTTATAATGAAAGTATGTCCTGGTAGAATTTCTAAGGACTGGAGTAGAGAAAGCAGGGGGCGTCCAAAGCTGCAAAAGCCTCAGGACCAACGGATGTATTGCCAACTACCTGTGGCTGAGAGTGTACAGAGTATTGAAGGGTTTGAAGTTATCAACTGAGGAATATTAGACCACCAGACACCAAGTGTCCCCCCCCCCAAAAAAAATATCCTTGTTCCCTATCTTATCCTTAAGATTTTTCCGAATAGTTAGATCCTTGTGTGTGAATGGATCAAAGACCAATTGAGTGCTAACCATCTGCTAGGCCAATTTAAGTGGGTAGAACCCAGGGCTCACTGACATAGGGGACAGAACTGGTACATTTCTAGGTGAGATCATTCAGGTGCTCCTGATTAGGAGTTCAGAGTCCAGTGTTTCACATTAGACAGCAGGAAGTGATACTGGCACAGATTAATGATGAACGCCCCCTTCTTCTTCCATTAGCTGAAGCTCTTTATATGCAATCCTGAAGGACCCCAAATAAATTTGTGAAACACAGAATCGATTTTTGCAAAAAATCTTCAGGGGATATGTTCTGGAGCCTCTCTCAGGACATAAATGTTATGTGGAATAGAACTGATCTTAAGCATGCTAATTCTACCCCAGATTCTCATAATTAAGGAGGACCATCTATTTTACTTGAACTAAGGAATGGATCTTTCTCGGAACAATAAGACCAAGACATCTGACATCCTCAGCATCAAAATTCAATGGCCAGAGGCTGCACGTATCAGAGGAAACTCGTTCTCCCAAAGACCTCCCAATTAATACAGTGTCCTGATAATTCAGTGATAAGATTCATCAATTCCTGTTAAGGACCAGACAGCACAACTAAAGCATCATATGTATATGAGGCCACTGATTGTCATATGGCATATGTCAAGGGCTCTAGAGCCAGGTCAAGCAGAGGAAAGAGGGCAGCTTTGGGAAGCTACAACAATGTTGACTATAATCAGTTGTTGAGCCATCAAGGTAAAAATCATGAATGTTGAAACAGTATGAACAGATTTACTCTTGTTTCCTTATTTCCAATTTTGTTTCTATATTCTCAGAGATATTTTGGCATAGCTGGAATGTTCAAGAACTTAACAAAATTCTGTGGTTTCAAGAGTAACTCAGTAAAACATATCAGTCTATCACATAACACAGTGGTCATGTAACCACTGAAGATCTCCAGTGCTGTTTCATATGTCTCCAAGCCCAAAATGAAATAATAGTGGGAAATGCCAAACAGCTGGATAATTCTTTTGGCATTTTCATCACATGCTGAAGAGAGAAGCCCATTTGTCATTTTAAAGTGTAAACTGAAATACAAGTTTCCTCTTCAGCAGCACAAGCAACTGCAGTGGAAACAATGGAACTCACAGCTGTGTGTAGAGTTCTCCCTTGCACATGCATATTGCTTAGCTGGATTTCAACTACACAGGATAAATGCAGTAGCTGAGTTTTAATTTGAAAAATGGTCAAGTGTTATCTCTTCTGGCAACTCTAAGGCACGGTAATATGGTTGTACACACACAAGCAAACAGGAATGCTAGCTCATCATATTAGGGTCTAACACATACTCTCCTGCTTCAGTTTGGGGGTCACAAGTACTACCACCATGAAGCAGGGGGAGCAAGTAAGCAAAACTAACTGTATTTTTTTTTTTTGGTAAACAAATTTTATTTTCTCAGGAATACAACATATAAAACATTTCATTCTATCAACTGTCTACCCCATTCCCAGTTCCTCCCCTCCCTCCAATGGCTTCCCACAATGCTTCCACCCCTGCTCCAAATTACTTCATATCATCAACAATATCAGTTTTTCATCATTACAATCTAAAGATAACATCGTTTGACTTAATATTGATCTAAACATATTAAGTTTTGTTTCACATCCCAGTTCTTTTCCAGATAAATTTTAAAATCATTCCATTCTCCAAAAAACTCATCGTCTTCTTTGTTATTCAGTTTTTTTGTAATCTTATCCATTTGTGCCATGAACAGAACTTTTTGTATCCATTCTTCAACCTCTGGTACCTTTTCTGTCTTCCAAAACTGAGCATAAATCATTCTCGCTGTCACTATCAGGTACCAGAGTAAAGTTTTTTTAGTCGTATTGACTTCTTCCATTTTGAGTCCCAAAAGCAGAATTTCCGGTGCTTTTTTAAAAGAACATTTCAGTATTTTTTGCATTTCATTGTGGACTTTTGTCCAAAAGTCTACAGCTTTCTCACAAGTCCACCACATATGATAAAATGAGCCCTCATGCCTCTTACATTTCCAGCATTTGTTTGACATATTTTGATTCATATTTGCAATCTTCTTAGGTGTCATGTACCACCTATACATCATCTTATAACAATTTTCTTTAACATTAGTACATGTCGAGATCTTAATAGAGTTTTTCCACAAATATTCCCAAGTTTCCATATCCACTTCCTTATTCATATTAATAGCCCATTTTAACATTTGTTCTTTAACAGTTTCATCTTCAGTATACCATTTTAACAACACCTTATACATTTTAGAAATATTTTTTCCTCCTCCACTTCCCCATACCTTTTCAATTTCATTTTTTTCCTCTCTAAAACCATAGTTTTTTTTGTCTGATCTAAAAAGATCATAAATCTGCATATATTTCAACCACTCATATTCATATTCAATTTCATTCTGCTTTTTCATTACCCACTCTGTTCCCTCTTTTTTAATTAAGTCTCTATATGGCAACCAGTCTCTACCTCGCTGTCTTGAGTAAGATATCAACACTTCTACTGGTACAATCCACAATGGTCTTAAGTCACTCTGGTACTTCTTATATCTCGTCCATACCATATACAAAGCTTTTCTCACCAAGTGAAGTTTAAGCAAAACTTAATCAACAACACAAATAACAAACATGCAATTATACAATACTGTAATATACAGTTTAGTCACTGCTAAACGAAATCAATTCTAACCATCAAAATCAAGTCAATACATAATGATGCTCACAATGTTTTAAAAAGGTAAGGGACATATTTAGTAGGTGGAAGCCCCCTAGACTGTGAGAATATTAACCTAAACAAAATCCTGTCCACTACTATTGTTTCCTGTTCTACTACTACTCCAGCATGATTTTTCTCCCTTTTTTAATGCATTATCTTCTTCAGTTTGCAATACGCATCATCGCAGCCAATCAGGGATCATATAAACGTCACGTCCCACCTCCGCCCCTCGCTGGTCTTGCCCCGAAGGCATGACACAGAGGCTCTGGACCACCTCCCGCTGCTGTCTTCTCCGCCAGGAGGGTTAGGGAGTGCAGTAGGCTAGGTCCCAGAATAGCAGGCCCAGCTGTGGTGAGTTACCTCACTCACCCTGCTGGGCTCTGCTCGCCAGGGCTCTGGAGCGCATTCCCTCTATTTCTCTACTGCTCTGCCCAAGAGACTGGCCACTTCCTCCTTGACCTGCCGCCTGCTTCCTTCTTGTGAGTCCCATCCATCTACACTGACACTTCCCGCTTCAGGCCCTGATGGGTTTGTTGCATCTCACTTTCCCCTTGGACGGGGCCCTGCTGCATTTGTCATGCCTCACTCCCTCCTCAGATGGGGCCTCGCCCTGCCATGCACACTGCCAGCTTGTTTCTCTTCCTGGTTTTTTGTCCAGCCGGCTGTCCGGAGGCCTGATGACCTTTCATCTGCCCGGTGTGGCTCCTGGCCCTTTCAGCACACTGGGTGAGTTTATTTTGGGGCCCTGGGCTGGGTGACGGCATGGGGAGGGGAGGGACCGTGGGCTTCCTGCAGGGTTGCTGAGGTTTGCGGTGGTGTTGAGGGTGTCAGAATGAGGGCCGGCCACACCCATGGCTGGACAATAAAGAACAAGAAAACAACATGATACGACACAGCCAGATTTGGGTAATGAATGTGTCATTGACCTGGATAGCCCAGGCTGGCCCAGTCTTGTCAATTCATGAAAGCTAAGCAGGGTTGGCAGCAATGCTCCCTCTAAGTGTGGAGTCCTGTGAGCAAAAATTCTACTTTGTGAGCTACCAGCGTTAAAATTGTGAGCAGGCAGGTGATTTGGCTACTGCATAAATTAGTTTGCTCTGGACTGGAGACATCCTTCCTGAGCTAAGACAAAAATGTGTAAACCGGAGGGTAAAAAACTGTGAGCTAGCTCACCCTTACTCAGCTTAGATGGAACACTGGTTGGCAGTAGTTAGTACTTGAATGAGAGAGCACCAAGGAAGTCCAGGGTTGCTACGCAGTGGCGGGCAATGTTTGTCTCTTGCCTTGAAAACTCTATGGAATCTCCACAAGTTGGCTGTGACTTGATGGTACTTTACACACACACCACTCAGAGTAAATTAAGCAATTAATGCTTCCTGGATCAGTCACCTGCATGAATTGCATGACACCAATACACACATTTGGCCAACAGGCTGACATTACTGAGGGCAAACAAAGGTGATCCAGAGAGAATTGCTCTGACTGGCAAACACTTCCACCTCCTTTCTACACACTTACCAAAAAGTTAACGGAGGGAGTACTGTCATTTCTGAACTGCTGTCATTTCTCAATGTGTTTGTGAAAAGGGTCCTCTTGGTTCAGCCCTAGTAAAAACTTCTGACAAAATGCACATAGGTTACTGTCTAGTTAGCAACAATTATAGTATACCCAGATGGTCTAGCAAATCTGCATTTTGGACTTCAGCAAAAATTTAGAGTTCCATAATCACACCCAGCATATTTCTTTATATCTCCGAAATCATTCTTAAAGGCATTAAATACAAGGAAGCTATTAAGTCAAATATAATAAGAGCTTAGAAGAAGATTTAAAAATCATAATTAAAGCCACCAAATGAAGCCCACAGAAAGGCAAAAACCCTAAGCTTAAAGAACTACTGTCTCTTTTAATATTCTATTAACTACATATCCCCATTTCCCTCAGCCATTTCCTTTTTCCAAATAATGGATTAGAAGCATGTTGTTCTGTGCTTCATCAGCTCTTTTCTTGCCCAAATGTTTCCACACACTACTTCCTTCCTCTATCCTGCTTTGCTTCTGCTTCACCAAGTTATAACCCTCTCTCTATTGTTTGGGGGAGGTGTCATGGCTCAGTCACACAACACTCGTACCTTGCAAGCAGAAGTTCCCAAGTTCAGTCCATGGCGTCTACAGTTAAATGATTTCAAAAGCTAACAGATGATTGGGGAAAGCTTTCACTGTGAGAGACCCAAGAGAGTCATGGCCTGCCAAAGTATCCAGTGCTAAGCTCCATGTACTTAACTCAATATAAAGCAGCTTCATATGTTCCTTTGTGCTTTTGAGGAAAGGTATTTGGCTTCAAGAGGAGGTTGGAATCCAGTCACTCCTGTATAAATGTAGCAGGGAGGTTTTCTGAGAGGGCCTCCAGTTTCCAACTACTATCAACAGAACCATCAGAGAGAAGAGAGGAGGCAGCCAGGAGCTCTTCTATCACACTTGAACCTATTTCAGCTGAGAGTCCCCTCCCAGAGACACATTCAGTGCTGAATTTTAACTGCTAGTTCATTCCATTTTGATGGCTGAGAGCATCTTTTGGAGCCCAGTTTTAGGTGAGACATAATTAAAATGATTAAAAAAAAATAATTAAAAACTTTTATGTTGTCGACCTAGGATGTGCTTGCTTAGGTTCTGTAATTTCTTGCTTGTGTACAGACTACCTACAGATTTTTTCCCCCACTGGGAGCCAAAGGTTTTGTTTTCTAATTGCTGAGAAGATTGGGGATTTGAAAGAAAATGCTAACAGTCAGTCAAGTAAATTTCACCAGTGAATTCCCACATTGAGAACTTGAATAAGTGAATGCTGTTCAAACCATTTTACAATATTGTATGCTGTCACAAATTATAATGTACAATACTAAACAAGTCCTCAAACTACAGATCTCTTGATGCATTAGCTTTCACAAAAAAGAAAGAGACGCCACGCCACAAGAATTTTATGTAATGCTTCTATTGCATTAGCTGCTTCATCTTTATCTTCTTCCTGTCAGCATTCAGACAGCAGTGGAAATGCAGAGAGCCTCATCCTCTCCGATATGCAGCCTACTGTCTTGCTTAAGAAATCTTCTTGAGTAACACAATTACTAGCTACCATAATTCTAAATTGTTATGCAACAACCTGATCATTATTCTTTTGATACACAAAAGACAGAGACACCACTGTTCCAGATGGCTGAGAATCGTAAAGATGCCCAGCCCCCCAGTGTTGGAAGCAGGATGGGCATATTCTTTGCTGTAAATCAACTCCCAGATGAATTGAGCCATAGCTAGTACCTCGATCTGGTTAGGATCCTGTTCTGTGCCATCCTCAGAAAAACAGTTTATTCAGCCTTGTTGGGGTTGTTTATTTCCAGCATTTATATGCTCCAACCTCAGCAACAAAGCCTTCCTACTGGCTTATGATTGTAAGTGCTATAAGTGCTACAGCAAGGTCAATGGAACTGTTCAAATTTCAATAGATCATCTGGAGTACATCTTCTTAAAATAACATGCACTAGGCTGTAAAAATCCAGTGATTCTTAAATACTGTGGGTTGGCATTCCACAATGGATTACGGGAGCCTTCTGATATTTTACATTGAAGCAGAAGACAAATCTGACAGGCCAACAAGCACTGCATGCACAAATAAATCAAACCTTTCCTGTTTATTTATTTTTGTTTTGCCACAGGAACTGGTATTCAGAGATACACAGCTCAGCAGTTACCATGGCTAATACCATGGCACTGGTATTTCTGGCCACTGTATGATACAGAGTGTTGGACTGGATGGGCCTTTGGCCTGATCCAACATTGGCATCTCTTATGTTCTTAATAGCAGTCAATGACCTACCCTCCATAAGAAAATAGGTCTGAGCAGGATAGGTCAGTTCTTTCATCCTGGTAATGCTGTCACTCCAATAAGACCTCACCCAAGCTACAGCACGCTTATCACTACTCCTCTCAGACCATATTGCAATACCTGTTGGGTATCGCTACATTCCTAATACCTAAGGTCTAGTCTACACCTGCAACAGAAAGAAATGAGGAGAGGTAGCGAAAAGGACTAAGTGTCAGGATGTTGTAATGGGTAAAGTGTCAGTGCAGGAACTGGGAGACCCAGGTTTAAATCACCAAACTGCCATGGAATCCTGCTGGGTGACCTCAGGCCAGTCATACACTCACAGCTTAACCTACCTCATAGGGTTGTTGCAAGGATAAAATGGAGGAGAGGAGAACAATGTAAGCTGCTTTGGGTCCCCATTGGGGAGAAAAGCAGGCTATACATGAAGTAAAAACATAAGTCCTATACCAGAAGGCTGCACAACTAGGAAATTAGCACAGCAAAGAACATGCTAGGAAAAAATGTTTCATTCTGGTTTACTAGCTTTCTTACTTGCAGGGGTTTTGTGTGTATGGGAAAGCATTAACAAACAGCATTCCTCACCTGCAGCCTTAAACAGTATAGTCCTGCCTATAATCCCAGGAGTCTGTCATTTCAATTGCATTATGTTTAGAGCAGAAAGTCAAATGGAAGGTCATCTAAAAAGAATCAGGAGAAGGCAAGGGAATACACCTATTGGCATCAGTGTGCTGGAGAAGCACAGGTGTGGGGTTGGCCTCACATTTCAACCAATAACCCTCTCCTGCTCATTATAACCTTGGTGGTGGTGGTGGTAAGTGCCATCAAGCCACTGCTGACTTATGGCGACCCTATAGGGGTTTCAAGGCAAGAGACAGTCAGAGGTGGTCTGCCATTACCTGCCTCTCCATAGTGACCCTGGACTTCCTTAGTGGTCTCCCACCCAGATACTAACCAGGGCTTACCCAGCTTAGCTTCCAGCATCTTATGAGACTGAGCTAGCCTGGGCCATCTAGGTCAGAGAAAACGGTGGTCAGGTTGCAGCCAACTTATGGCAAGCCCACAGGGCTTTCAAAGTAACAGATGCTTAGAGGTGGTTTGCCGTTGCCCGTCTCCACGTAGCAACACTTAACTTCCTCCATGGTCTCCCATCCAAGTACTCACCAGGGCCACCCTGCTTAGCTCCGGAGATCTGATGACATCAGGCTAGCCTGGGCTATCCAGGTTAGGTCCATCCATCATAATCTTACCACTCCATATTTTCATCTTGAATCTGACTAGGGTTGCCAAGTCTGGGTTGGAAAATATCTGGAGACTTTGGGGCTGGATCCAGGAGAGGGTGGGGATTGGGGAGGGGCTTCAGCCTGGTACAATGCCATAGAGTCCCCCCTTCAGAGCAGCCATTTTCTCCAGGGGAGCTGATCTCTGTCAGCTGGAGATCAGTTGTAAAAGCAGGAGATCCCCAGGCCCCACCTGGAGGCTGGCAACCCTAAATCTGACAGTTTTAAAAAATTCATTTGCAAGAACCATGTAGCGCTGATCTAGCTGGTATGGCAATGAGATTCAACAGAGTAATTAAGTCCTGCATAAAGAAGCTGGTATAACACAAAGTAAGCGGGCCTGGGTGGCATCAAACAGCTTTTAAAAGTACCAAACAAGGTAGGGATGATGGTGGAGGTTTCCCATAATCAGAATCTAACAAGCGCCCTCCACTTCCTACCAAAAGTAACAAATTGTTTTCTGTTCCAAGAAGTGAATAGGAAACCATTTTCCATTTGTTAATCAAGGGATTCAGTAGAAAACAGTCAACGACTAATTTGGATATAAATAAGAATGTCACAGGAAATAAGTCTGACTCAGAAACACTCAGGAAGTGAGAACAAATCTTTTCAACTGGCAAATCCCTGTCCACCTTTCAAACACCCTGTTTGCTGAGCTCACTGGCTAAGAACACAACCGCACCGATTCGAAGCAAACGCAAAACTACTGTGACGCAAGCCATGTGGTAGCAAGCTTGAATAAACTTACTTCAGTGTGAATAGGCTCGCCAGACTGAATAACTACTGCAAGGATGGGAATGTAAATAATAATAATAAAATAAAAGAGAAAGGCCTACAAACAATCAGCATCTCTCCCCCCCCCCGGAACTTTTTAAGGACGGGGAGGGCAACACGTCTTGATTTGCTGAAATGCTAGATCCTGCTGGGGCTTTCCCCCTTCTTAGAGTACTAACCTCCAGCCGTTTGCGCCCTTACCGCGGCCGATTACCGTACAGAGCGACGGCCTCTACTCGGCTTCCTAGTACGCACCGACCGATTACGCGTCTCCGCAGGGTGTGCTCTTCAGCGCCATCTTAAGGTATAAAACGGTATCGGCTTCGGCTGGAGCCACAACAATTCCGCTCCGCCTGCCCTCTCCCTTTCCTTCCTGGGTGTTCTGCGAGCCGCCGCTCCGATTTAGGTTTTGCCTTGGTAGGCGAGCCAAGCCAGAAACGTGCCTGGATTTAGTAACTCTGTAGTGCCTTCTGAATGGATAATCAAGAACAATGGGAAAGGGAAAGTAAAGAGGAGGCGTGTGGCACTTTAAACACTAGCAAGAGTTTATTCCAGATTCCCTGGACTAGATCCCACTTTTCCAGATGCTTTTCCAGATCCCACTTTTAAGCACCACACCATACTGGCTCTCAAGAACTGGACTCTAGTCCACAAAAGTTTATGCTGGAATAAAAGTCTTTAAAGTGCCACAAGACTCCTGCTTTGTTTTGCTGCAATAGGCTAATAGGGCCACCCCTCTGGTGCCAAAGCAGTACTAAATGTACAAGGCACACATTCAAAGACGAATGAATGCCTCAGGGACGTACATACTTTTGCCAGTGTGTTTTTCCCCTGAAGCACTTGGAGCCTGGAGCAACAAGCATGATTACTATTATAGCACATCATTTGGAGTTCTAATATTTAACTTTTTTATTGATTTTACAAATTATAACGAACAAAGCTTATGACAAAGATGCATAACAATAAAACACAGTAGTTCTATATATTGAGGTTATCCGTAGAAAATAGTGAAATTTCTTATGCAGATTATTCATGTCATAGAACAAAGTAAAACGATATCATTTAACATATTAACAGTATGATAATTACTGAATATTGGAATGAGTACAATTACGATAGCTGTCGCTATCAGTTAGCAAAATATCATAATGAGAATATCTATGGTTAGCATGTAAACTGTAATGGAGAATTTTTAACATACAAACTCAGATCCATTTGAGATACTCTTTCCATGTTGGAGGTATGTATTCAGCCTCCGATAAGTGAGATAAGATTGGAAACCATTTGGCACTGAACGTCTTGGTCGAATGGCTATTCGAATAGCTATTAGTTTTATCAGTTATGCTTTCTAGAACATATTGGTCCCATAATTTTCTAAACCATGTCTGAATATTTGGGGTGTTTTTGTCCTTCCACATTGAAGCAATTGAAGCTGCATAAAGCATTGTTTCCAATATGGTTCTGTGGTGATGCTGGTTGATTTGAGCTGGCCAGATCTATCATTTGGAGTTCTGATTAAACCATGGAAGGAGCTCAAAATGGGGTTTAATAAAATAATGCCAGTTACTCTGTGAGAACGAATAGTCTAGCACTGGTCTGTTTCCATTTCATTGTATCTGAAGAAGTGTGCCTGCACATGAAAGCTCATACCTTGAATAAAACGTTGTTGGTCTTAAAGTTGCCACTGGACTCAAACTTTGTTCTAGCACTTCTGATTCTTATATTCTCCCGGCCCATCCCGACAGGCAGCCTCAGTGCCTGGAGCTGCTTGGCCTTGTGCTATTCAGACTAGCCTGCCTCACAGACGTACACACTTAAAACCACCAACACATAGTGAGATCTTTTTGAGTTTCTCACCTCTAGCCTGCATTCTTTTATATATTGATTTGACAAGCCTTTCTCTCTGTCTCTGTGTGTTTAAAATAATATCTAATACAAAGTGTTCTCCAGTGAGCAATAAAACCCCTAGGCTTTTTTTGTCTTTCTTTCTGATCTCTTCTTTCACAGGATTCCTGTCCAGAATTCTGCCTTTCTTTGCATCCATCCCTTCTGTAAGAGTATGAGCCGTTTTGGTTCTCAGTCAGCTTTCACTGTTCATACACTCCAAGGAGCATCATAGAAAGACAGGCCCTGCAGGAAAATGTCCTAATCCTGCCTCCATCACAAGCAAAATTAATCAAAGACTGAAGCATCATGTCTGCTGGGGATTGCTATCAAGACTGAAGCCTGCTGGCTCTGCCTGACTCATTTTGAGCCACTATGTCAAACTGAGTTGTTTGAACAGAAGATCTAATGCAGGCATCTAAAAGGGGCTGTCTGGCAGGGTGACAAATCAAACTCCAGAGTTCCTAACTTCATAAAGGAGGGGGATTTTAAATTATAACAGGATTGCAAAAGATATTGGGTAAACAGAGCACTCGTGTTGTCATTATGTGGCACAATGTGCATTATTTTTCAGCAAGGCAAAGTAGGCAGAGATGGCTTCAAAACAGAATGCTGCCAGTGTTGTTCTATTGAGAAATGAGAATTTAAGATGCAAAGCAGCTATCATTTACACTGCTTTCAGATTAGTGGCACAAATCTGAAGCCTTCCTCTAAGAGTGTTTCCCCATAATTAGTCACAATATGCAGCACAATTGCATTTTGGACGTGGCTATTCTAGTCGGGGGGGAGCTCTCAGGTACGGAGCTCCGGAAGAGAACCTCTAGGGGGCGGGGCAGTCACGTGGTGAAGCCCCGCCCCCTTCTTTACCCCGCCCTCTGCTTCGATCCTCATTCCGTTTGGGAATGAGGATGAAGCAGGAGGGTAAGTAGCCGGGCCTTCTGACACACTTCCGGTGATATAACAAAATATCACAAATGGACCCAGTAATTTTGTAAAGTCAACAATACATGAAAGAATTACTGTACATGTTCATACTTATTGAAAACACATTAGTAAGTCATGCTGGTTTCTACTTGATTTTAATAGGTGAACTTCATCCGAAGACAGAAGCCCAAAACGATGCCAAGGATGTTTAAAGATAGAACGTTTCGACTGAACGTCTTTTTCAACCATCCTAACAAAAGGAAGGGAATAAAGTTTTTTACAAAAACCGGAATTGTTTAGGACAATTTTACAATGTAACAATAAATTTTATGGTATACATACAGTTTGTAGTATTATTCTTTACTTCATGTTTCGATGCAAGGTACAAAAATTCTAAAGACAGAAATCACATTATTCATTTTAAAGCTCACATGTATGTTTAAAGCATGCCCTTAAATCTTATTTTTAAATAATAATAATACTCCTTTAAATCTTACCTATAACTGGCTGAGAGCAGCTCTCACAAGATTAACAACATTTTATTCGGATAGCAAATCTTAAATATACAACTCTAAATGGGTTCCTTATATTTTTCTATTCAAGTCACATGATGTTAGATCCCAAGAAGCCACCTTACCAACAAGCCAAAAGTGCTTAAACATTTTTCAACTGTTAATTAAGTTCATTTTAACCATACAAATATGCCTATTATTATTAAAGAATCACCAAAAGGATCACAAAGACGGACTCACAACCGACCTAAGTGTATCTTTTAATCTCCTAGAAAACATGATAAGTCTAACTCAGCATTTAAACCCCTGGGGTGCTCTGACTGGAGTTTAAATATCCAGAATGCCTCCCTTTGCAGCAATAACTTTTTCATATCCATACTCATGAATGGTTTACTTTTCACTACTTCTAATACAAGGCATTTGAAATCATTCGGACCATGATTGGTTTTCTCAAAATGCTGCACCATTGGAGCAGTGGGGTGCTTGTGCTTAATTTTGGATTTATGTTCCAAAATGCGGGTCCTTAATGCCCTTGATGTTTGCCCGACATACCTTAAGTTACATATACATATTAATAGGTAGACGACCGATTTTGTCGCACAAGTTGAAAAATGATGAATGGATTCTTTAAGGTTAATGTCAGGAAAATCCAACGTGTCAGTTTCAATCATTAAAGCACACGCCGCACATCTACCGCAGCTGTGATGTCCGATCGGGTTTCTATTAGTTTCCTGAACCTTAAAGGCATCTGCCCTAACCAACCTGTCCCTTATACTTTGTGTTCTCCTAAAACCTATTTTTAAAGGTAAATGACATGCCCTGATGTCACTGAGAATATGCCAGTGTCTCATAATGATGGTCTTAATGTCAAATGCCTTACTAGTGAAGTCTAATGCCCAATTGAGTCTATCGTCATGAGGATGTTCATTCTTATTATTAAACAGATCTTTTCGATCCCGGCGTTCTGCTCTAAAGTGGGCATTTCTGATAACCCAATCAGGATATCCTCTCCTATGGAACTGTTCAGTCAGTCTACCTGCTTCTTTCTTAAAGTCTTCCTCCAGGGTAGAATTGCGCTTAATCCTGAGAAATTGGCTGTATGGTAAATTGCACTTTAAATGTTTAACATGGTGTGACTCAAAGTGTAAAATAGAATTTTTATCAGTCTTTTTGTGGAACGGACGAACTGCCAATTTGTCATTATGTATAAAGACTGTGGTGTCCAAATAATTGATCTCAGAGAGGCTGGCTTCATGAGTAAACTTAATGGATGTATGTATGGTATTTATCCATTGGAAAAAAGGTTCAACTGCATTAATATCATCCAAAATAAGAAAACAATCATCAATATAACGCTTGTAAACAATAAGATTCTTAAAGAGAGGATTAACATTCCCAGCCGCGATCCATTGTTCCTCAAACATCCCCATAAATAAATTAGCAACACTGGGTGCAAACGAACTCCCCATGGCTACCCCTTTAACTTGAAAATAAAAATCACATCCAAACCGAAAAAAACTTTTCTCAAAAATAATGTCAGCCAAATCAATAAGAAAGTGTGTAGGGGGAGTTTTGCAGGACCTTTTTTCCAATGCATTGATCAGGGCCAATCTGGCCTCCTCATGAGGGATGTTCGTGTAAAGGGCTTCCACGTCCATAGTCATCAGGACTGCTCCTAAAGGGATCTGTTTGTTCTCTACAATTTGAATAAAATTCCGGGTATCCTTAATGTATGACTCTAATTTAACCACTGCTGGTTTTAGGAAGGAGTCAATATATTTGGACAGGGGTTCCAATTGGGAATTAATCCCAGAGACTATAGGTCTCCCTGGTGGTGGGTCACCTGGCTTATGGATTTTCGGAAGTACATAAAAGATTGGTACTCTATGATATTTTTGACAAAGATATTGAGCTGTTTGTATTCCAATATAATCATATAAAAGTCCTTCATTCACAGTGGTCGATATA